CTTTGTCTTTACACATAGCTCTTTATTAAATAATATTATCTTTTTAGTTACAGTAATAGTCCTACAGAGTGGAGCCAGTCAAGGCTCAGAAATCAGGTTGAAGAAGCTGTAGAAGACACTGAAGAAGCGGATGATACTGAAGAACCTGATGATACAGAAGAAAGATCAGAAATACCTAAGCAGGGTAAGATACATTTTAAACTGTAAGATACAGTTTAAAGATGAGAAATGTCATGTGTGGGACTTCCCCTAATTTACTGAGCTAGGAAAAATGAACACAGTAGTCTTGCTTATCCATGATTTTGCTTTTCATGGTTGTAGTTATTCACAGTCAACTGTGGTCGCAAATGTTGAATGGAAGATTCCTGAAATATATAATTCATAAATCTTAAATTGTGTCGTTCTGAGCGGCATGATGAAATCTTACACCCTCTGATCCATCCCTCCAGGGATGTGAATTATCCTTTGTCCAGTGTATTTACACTGTGTGTGCTACCCGCCCATTAGTCCTTTGGTCACTCATGTATCATATCTCAGATCATCTGTGGTATCACAAGACCTTTGTTCAGGTAACCATCACTTTACTTAATAATGGCCCCAAAGCATGAGAGTTGCGATACTGGCAATTCAGATATGCTAAGGAGAAGCTATAAAGTTCTTTTAAGTGAAAAAGTGGCAGCTTTTGACTTCATAAGAAAAGAAGAAATTGTATGCGGAGGTTGCTAAGATCCATGGTTAGAAGGAGTTTTCTGTCTGAAATTGTGACAAAGAAATTTATGGTAGTTTTGCTGTCACACCTCAAAGTGCAAAAGTTATAGCCACGGTGTGTGGAAATGCTTGTTGAGATGCGGGTGGAAGGCGTGAACAGGAAACACCTTCTGGCTGGTGGCAGCCTGTTGCCCCAGAATGCAATGAGCCCTTAAAGACTTCACCCTGGAATGAGTGACCACATTCCCATAACTTTATCACAGCATATTGTTACAATTGTTCCATTTTGTTGTAGTTACTGTTGCTAATCTCTTACTGTGCCTTTTCATAATTAAACTTTATCATAGATATGTTCGGGTGGGGCAAAAGTAGGTTTACAGTTGTTCATATGAAAGATAATCCAATAATTAATAAATAATCATACAAGAGTAAACTGTTTCGTATACTCACAACTGTAAATGTACTTTTGCTCTGCCCTGTATATGTAGGAAAAATCATAGTACATACAGGGTTCAGTACTATTCTCGGTCGGTTTCAGGCATCTGTTAGGCATCTTGGAATGTATCCCTCATGGATAAGGGGGGATTGCTGTACTCATCCTTCTTCAAGATACCTGTCTGTTGATTATAGAGGATGACTTTATCTTCCCATTTACATTTAGGACAGAACCCATTTTCCAAAAGTGCAAATTCCTCTGATGTGCCATCTACTAAGTCAGGTAAGAAATACTTGTAATTTTGTAATATCAAGAAGATTTCTTAAGTAGTCTTTAAAGTGATACATCTACTCAAATACACTTTACTCTTTAGGGCCTGTTTGTTTTCTTGTTGATTTGGGTTTTTGTTTGGGGTTTTTGTTATTATCGGTGATGTTTGTGAAATCATGGTCATTTAACAAATATTTATTAAATGCCTATTGTGTGTCAGATATTTGGATGAGGGATGTGGAAGTCAAGAAGACATGTGTGGTGTGTACAGAGTATTAAAAGAGTATGTAATTTATTCAGTGGTGGGAGGTAGGTTGGGGCTCCAGGGAAGACCACATGGAGTGTTTAAAGCAGACACATGAACAATGACAGTAAAGTGAGCAAAGGTGGGTGGAAGCAGAAGCAGAGACAAAACATGTGCGGCAACTTGTAAGAAAGCTGTGAAGAGCACAGAAAGCAAAGAAAAAGTGGTGCTGAGTGAATGATTTGGGGGTAAATGGGCAGGATCCAAATCATGCAGGGTCACATAGTCCATAGTAAGGATTTTGATCTTTATTCTAAGGTTGTTAGGAAGCTGTAGGTTTTGAGCAGGGGCATAGCATGCCACTCTGCTGAGGAGGAATGCATATTAAGTGACTACAGTCCAAGTGAGATCGAGGAGTGGCCTGGACTAGGCCAGTGATGACGGTAGAGAGAACAGGAAGAATTGAGGAGGTTGTTGAGAAGATGATAGAGAGAGTGTAGAAGTTGGGGTATGAAGAATGACTCAGTTTCTCTGCTTCTGTAGTTGAGTGAACAATGGTGCCAATTACTGAGTCAGGAAACACCAGGGAAGTGCAGGTTTAGATAGGAAGATGATGAATTACTACTGGATATTTGGGTCAGGAGCTCAGGAGAGTAATGTCTCTGAAATTGAGATATAAAGTGAAAATCATTGGTATTAGTGTAGCAGTTTAAACTATGGGCCTGGGTAAGGGAGCATTGGGGGAGGATGTAAAGTGAGGAGAAAAATGAGCTTAGGCTTAGGGAATCCCCAACATTTAAACATGAGATAGAGGTGGACAGGAGGGGAGCCATCGACGGAGAGTAAGACCAGAGAAAGAGGAGGTAAGTAAGTGTAACACAGTATCTGAGAAGTCAAGGGAGGAGACAGTATCAAGGAGAAAGGAACACTCAGCTGTGCAGAATGCTGTTAAGAGGGAAAATAAGATGATGACTGAAAATTATCCACCGGATTTGGCTACGTAAAGTTTTATTGAGTACTTAGCAAGAGCAGATTCTGTAGGGTAGTAGGGCCGGAAGCCAGGTTATAGTAATATGAGCAGTGAGGAAATGGGAATAGCGTGTAGACAGCTCTTGAAAAATTTGGCTGTATATGGGGAGGTGAGGGGATATGGTGGCTGGAAGGTAGAGAGGATTCATTTGGGTTTTGTTTGTTTAAGTTGAGAAACTTGAATAGCCAATGAGGGAAAAGTCAAAGATGGTGTAACCATTGATAGGACCAAGTGTCTTGGTAGAGCAAGAGGGGTGAGGTGGAGAGCACCAGGAGAGGAATTACTAACCTGGCTAAATAAGATACCATTCTTCCATGCTAACAGGAGAAAAGAGTAGATCTACATGTGTTGGGTTGGCAGATTTTACAGTGGTGAGTTGCAGTAGTGCCTAATAGCTTTTATTTTGTCTTGGAAATAGGAACGAGGTCACGTGTAGTTAATAGTTTTAACGTTACAGAGTACATTTCTTTTTATATAATACAGATTAAAACATTCCATGTATTATTACAGAAGTCCTCTGTTTTACCACTATTAAGTGAGGGTTTCTTTCTTCTGAAAGGTGCAATTGCCTCTGGCAGCCAAGGACGAGTAAACCCCTTCAAGGTAAAGTCTTTCCAGTGATATTTTCTATTTAAATACATTCCCATCCAGAGAAATACAGAGTCTGGCACAAATAATATCCCTTTTTTATTACATAAAAATATTTTATTACAAAATCATAATCATATAATTCTATAATATAACAATGTCACACTCAAGCACACCATGTGACATTTTAGGTGAAATCTTCAAATTCCTCTCCCTCTCGTGTGAGACATTCACGTACCCTACCAACTACCCTCGAAGGCGTTAGTTCTGCCAGCCCCCGTATTTTCAAACCATGTTATGGCCCTCCCGGGTTGGAGGCATTAAAGACTGCAGCAGATCTTCGTGAAAACAAACACAAAAGCAGCATAGGTTCAGGGGTCATATTTTCTACTTATTTCTAAGTACCTGTTTTTCTTGGGATGTGGTATTTGGGAATGTGTGGATCAGTCTTAATTTGGATTGTACCAAATTTAGTCAGTTTCAAAAATGAGACTACAATGCAAACTTAATTGAAATTTTAAAGGGAAATAAATTACTGGGATTCTTTTTCTTCTTTAAACATAAAATGTTAACACAAGTTTATTCTGTAGGTATCAGCCAGTTCCAAAGAGCCAGCCGGTTCAGGGAATTCAGGACGTTCTGCTAACATTTTAGACAATATGAACAAATCATACAAGAAATCTACTGCACTTAATCGAGCTACAAATAACGATAAGTCTCCAGTGATAAAGCCTCTAGTTCCAAAGCCAAAGTCTAAGCAGGTACTGGTTACCACATCTGCAGTAAACATCACAGGATCTGTTGGTTGTACTTTAGTTCATTTCACTGTTTCAGGTGTGGGACGGGAGGCTGCGGTTGTCGTCATGGATTGTCTAGTGAGGGCAGAGGTTCTCCACTCTGGATTTGCTTCAGAATCATTTTTCCCCCGCCAGACTGTATGCCCAGACCTTGAGGACTTGGGCATCTATCTTTTTTTGTTTTTAATTTTCCAGATGGTTCTGGTATGTATTTCTAGTCATCTACAATGACTGTGGAATACCTGGCTGTAATCTTCCCTTGCCCTGTGTTCCCATTTTGCTTCCCAGGTTTCATCCCATTTCTGTCATGAGTAAAATAGATCTACTGTTTATCTTTTCCATTTCTTATAACTCTGTTTATTTAGAAAACATGGAATTTGAAGTATGGTTTTGGGGGTCTGTGTGTATGTGTGGGGGGGTGCTTATTTTCTGAGAATTTAAGGGCTTAACATGTTGGTGTAAAAATTCTAAATAATTATAAATGTTTTTCCACATTTTTCAAAACTTGTGTGTATGTGTAAATCATACCTGATTTTGTTGCAGTACTCTGTATGTTTGTTTTCCCAGGCGTCTGCAGCATCCTATTTCCAGAAAAGAACTTCCGAAGCTGATAAGATTGAGGAAGTGAAAGAAGAAAACCCTGAAAATTCATTATCTGAAGCCCCAGCCACATGTCCTCAAAGCACTGAAAACCAAAGGTCAGTGCGTAGGGAGGGTTAGTGTTCTCAAGACACAGTCTCCCCATGAAAGACATACAGAAGCAGCGAAGACGCTTACGCAGCCCTGTTATTTATTATTGTAAATCACTCATTGACACTGGTAGTGGGCATTTTGAATAATTACAACTTTATGGAAGTCACAAATACTGATTTATGCCTATTTATATTACTTATTAAAATATGCTTTTTAAAAAAAGATTTTATTTTTAAAAGGGGCTTCTGTCGTGAGTGGCACACGTGGGGCAGCTTGACTGCTCTACATGCGGAATCGACGTCGAGATTGCTGAAGCATAATGTTTTGGTACCTGGGCAGCTAGCGATTGTTGGTCCTGGAACCCTTGACATACTAAAAAATAAAAAGATTTTATTTATTTATTTATTTTAGAGAAGGGGAGGGAGGGAGATAGAGAGGGAGAGAAGAATCAATGTATGGTTGCCTCTCACGCACCCCCTACCAGGGACCTGGCCCACAACCCAGGCATGTGCCCTTGCCTGGGAATCAAACTTGGGGACCCTTTGATCTGCAGGCCGCACTCAATCCACTGAGCCACACCAGCTAGGGTGAAAGTGTGCTTTGATAAATTGGATGTTTTAAATTGTAGATACATTTTATTAGGACACTATATTTTACAACTAGTTTTTTTAATAGATAATATAATTATATAGGAAAAACATAGTCAAAAGAGGTGTGATGAAGAGTAAATCTCTTTCCTATTTATCCAGTTCCTCTCTCCATAGTCACTACAACCATTTTCTTATATAGCCTTCCACAATTAATCTATGCATGTACAAACACTTCTATTAGTCTTTTGTTGTTTTGGTTTTTTGTTTTATAGAAATGGTAGCTTATACATTGTTCTGTGCCTTGCTTTTTTTCACTTAGCAGCTTTTGCAGGTCATTTCAGATTTCTACACAAAGTTTCCTTCATCTTTTTATACTAATTTAATCAATATACCATAATTTACTTAGTTCTCTACTGGTGGAGAAAGGTCTTTTGCTAGTACAAATAGTACTGCAATGGATAACTTCATGTGAATGTCATTTCTCACATAGACTTATAGCTATGGATTCCCATTTATATGGTTCAAATTAATGAAACCTTGTAATTCTGATAGATATTGCCAGATTGTTCTGCGTTGATATTATCATTTTGTGTGCCTTGTTTGTCCATGTCCTATTTTTCTCTTTTTTTTAATATATTTTATTGATTATGCCATTACAGTTGTCCCATTCCCCCCACTTCATTCCCCTCCACACCCCTCCCCTCACATTCCCCTTCTTTAGTTTATGTCCATGTGTCATAAGTTCTTTAGCTTCTACATTTCCCATACTATTCTTGCCCTCCCCTTATTTTCTCCCCACCGTCTGTGCTACTTATTCTCTGTACCTTCTCCCCTCTCTCCTCCTCCCACTCCCCTGTTGCTGACCCTCCATGTGATCTCCATTTCTATGTTTCCGCTCCTGATCGAGCTGTCCACTTAGTTTGCTTTTGTTTTAGGTGTGGTTGTTAATAACTGTGAGTTTGCTGTCCATTCACTGTTCATATTTTTTATCTTCTTTTTCTTAGATAAGTCCCTTTTAACATTTCATATAGTAAGGGCTTGGTGATGATGAACTCCTTGAACTTGACCTTATCTGAGAAACACTTTATCTGCCCTTCCATTCTAAATCAGATCTTTGCTGGATAGAGCAATCTTGGATGTAGGTGCTTGCATTTCATGACTTGGAATACTTCTTTCCAGCCCCTTCTTGCCTGTAAGGTCTCTCTTGAGAAATCTGCTGGCAGTCTGATGGGAACTCCTTTGTAGGTGACTGTCCTGTTATCTCTTGCTGCTTCTGGAATTCTCTCCTTCATTTTAATCTTGGGTAACTTAATGATGATGTGACTTGGTGTGTTCCTCTTTGGGTCCACCTTCTTTGGGACTCTCTGAGTTTCCTGGATTTCCTGGAGGTCTATTTCCTGTGCCAGATTGGGCAAGTTCTCCTCTATTATTTGTACAAATAACTTTTCCACTTGTTGCTCTTCCTCTTCCCCTTCTGGTACCACTGTAATTCAGCTGTTGGAATGTTTAAAGATGTCCTGGAGGTTCCTAAGCCTCTCCTTATTATTTTTTTTTCCCCGAATTCTTTCTTCATTCTTTTCTGGTTGGATGTTTCTTTCTTCCTTCTGGTCCACTCCACTGATCTGAGTCCCAGTTTTCTTCCCATCACTATTGGTTCCCTGTGCATTTTCCTTCATTTTACTTAGTGTAGCCTTCATTTGTTCATCTAATTTGCGACTAAAATTAACCAGTTCTGTGAGCATCCTGATCACCAGTGTTTTGAACTGTGCATCTGATAGGTTGGCTATCTTTTGGTTGCTTAAAGGTATTGGCTCTGGGGCTTTGATTTGTTCTTCTGATTGAGCTATTTTTGGTCAGGTTGCGCCTGTTATGTATGAGGGGCAGAGCCTTAGGTGTTCACCAGGGCGGGTCAACCCAGTCGCTGGGTTCTGACTAGGGGCAGGGTCAGAGAGGGAGCAGTGGTGCTTGTTCCACGCTGTCTTGGATTTCGGTCCCCTCTGCCACTTCCCACAAGCAAATTGGGCCCTTCTGGTGCTAGTTCCTGAGTGGGTGGCTTGTGTATGTTCTAGGACCCTGTGGGTCTCTCCAAGGAACTCTCCTGTGAGGCTGGGAGTCTCTCCCGGCACCTTGACCCATGAAAGTTTTCTCAATTGGTGTTTTTAGGCTTTATTTCCCATCGCTGGGGCCCTGGGTTGTGTGGTTTGTCTCACTGCCCATTTTTTGCCTGGTTTATCTGTGTGTGAATGTGTGTCCACGGTCAGCCAGCCGCCTTGCTCGCCTTACTGGGTTTGCCGGTCTCCTCCCCGCGCCCGGGTTGCCAGCCACCACCTTTTCCTGCCGGGATCCCTCTGCCGGCAGCCAACTCCACCCCTCTTACCGGTCTGGATGAATGAATGGTTCATCGTTGTCGGGCTTTGGTACAGTTCAGTTTTCTGTCTGTTCTGGTTGTTTTTTTGTTTCTAAATTTTTGTTGTCCTTAAATTTGGTTGTGTGAGGAGGTACAGTGTTTCACTTATGCTTCTATTGTGGCTGGAAGTCCCATGTCCTGTTTTTCCACCATTGCAGTATGTTACCACATTTCTTAATTTGTCATGCTACATTTATTTAAAATGTGTCAGTTAGCCCTGGCTGGTGTAGCTCAGTGGATTGAGTGCAGGCTGTGAACCAAAGGGTCACCAGTTTGATTCCTGGTTGGGGCACATGCCTGGGTTGCCGGCTAGGTACCCAGTGGGGGCCATGTAAGAGGCAACCACACATTGATGTTTCTCTCTCTCTTTTTCCCTCCCTTCCCCTCTCTCTAAAAATAAAATAAGATCTAAAAATAAATAAATAAAATAAAATGCATCAGTTAAATAGAAAAAGTCACTTTATTCTTATTATGTTAACCAGTTTAATTTGAGAGGGAAGCTATGTGTAGGTAGCTATGTGTTTTTGTTCTGTTTTGCTCTGAATTCAATTTAGATATTAAACACTGAAAATTTTAAGAAGATTCAGTGTTTTATACTATCAACAGGATATACACAAAAAATATACTTGGTTAATATGAAATGTTTGCATTAAACCCTTACTTGTGACCTAAAGACAGTTGTGTCAGAAGTGAAATCTAGTAAAATCGACCAGTGTGCTGTGTGCATGTTTTACATGATGATGATACCAGAAAGGACCCACACTCCCAAGTCAGCTGCGAGAGCCAGGGTTAGAGGGCGGCCGAAGAGCTTGACAGAAATCCTGAAGATTTCTGGTTTGGGAAATGGAGAAAGAGCCTACGTACCAAGGCCGCACGGAAAAACTTTACTGGTCCAGGGGGGCTAAGTGGGATTGGAGACCTTGAGCCTGTCAACATTAAAAAAAGAGTTGAAAGTGCAGAGTTCGTGTTTGCCGCACTTAGAAAATACAAGTGTGAGTAATCCCTTTGAACTGACCTTACAAAGGATTTTTCGGTTCATTATTCCTATAGTCTCCAGGCAGTTTTAAGTAATATATAATATGATTATGAACAAGTATAGCCACTTGTTTCTCTCTTCACACAACTGTGCAAAGGGGAATGGTTAGTTACTAACCTGGAAAGTCATAAAGCACTTTGAACAGTATTTCAGGTATTACACTTTTTCTCATGTTTGTGCTCTTTCAGGCCAAAGACTGGGTTCCAGATGTGGCTGGAAGAAAACAGAAGTAGTATTTTGTCTGACAATCCTGACTTTTCAGATGAAGCAGACATAATAAAGGAAGGAATGCTTCGATTTAGAGTATTGTCTGCTGAAGAAAGGAAGGTAAGGATAATTGTGTGGAGGTTCAGATCTCGGTGAATTCACAAGTTTTTTAAATTCTTATGGAAAAATACCTTTTCTGTTTTTGAAAAAAGAATACATTTCAATAAACTTTGGATGGAGAGGAAATTAAGTAACTAAAATGCCAGCATGGAACATATGGATATATAGTAGTTATTAGTGCATCTGGTTAATTTGGGGTCAGGTATATTGTTTACATCTGTATTGGTTCCTATATATTTTATACCCCAAGAACAAGTTCATTACTTATAAATTAAGAGCAAATAAAACAAATAAATAAAAATGAAGTTAATTCACATTTTTAGACTGGTACTTTAGGGTCTTGTAAGCAGACTTTTTAAAGATGCTATTTACTTACACGGACTACTGCTTTTGTGGGGAGGAGCTGGTGTTCGGTTCCATCCTTTCACATGGGAATGAGAGCCGGTGGCTTGTACCTGTTGCTCCTCATGAATTTCTGCCACGTGAAGGAAGGCTAGGAGCAGCTTTCTGTTGCAGTGGGAAGGCGTGTGTGTGGTGCATCAGTTAAATCCTGGGGCTTCACTTCCCCAGGGGTGGCAGTGTGCAGCTCAGGCACCTAGAGACAGAGTCTCGCCATGATAAACTGGGTTTTGTGAGGAAAGGTGTAAAATGAGGAAGCAACTGGCCTCACCACCTCTAGTTTCATTTAGAATCTCAGCAGCAGCTTTGTGGTTCTTATTTTTTAGAAGGTATTTATAAAAGCATAAAAATTCTAAAGAATTAGGTAAAATGGCCTCTGAATGAATCAGACTTTATGAGCAAAAGGAAACAAGTTGGCAAAAGTTGTGATTGTTTTTGAATACTTAGAATTGTAATTAATATTTTCAAGATAAATCTTAAACATTTACTTACATCCAATCTGTTCATGTGAGAAATTCTACGGCTCAAAGTCTCTTTTTCTATAGTAAATAAATGATGAGGAATATAAAGGAGGAGGAGGAGGAACTATTATAAATGAAAAGAGATT